AAAAAAAAAAAAAAAAAAAGAAAGAAAGTTTCAGATTTGGGGCTGGGCATGGTGGTTCATGCCTATAACCCCAACTTTCTGAGAGGCTGAGATAGGAGAATCACTTGAGGCCCGGAGTTTTAGATCAATCCAGACAACATAGCAAGACCCCACTTCTACAAAAAATGAAACATACTACCTGGGCTTAGTGGCCTGTACCTGTAGTCCCAGCTACTCAGAAGGTTGAGGCAGGAGGATTGCTGGAGTCCAGGTGTTTGAGGTTGCAGTGAGCTATGATGCCACAACACTCAACCCAGGGCAACAGAGTGAGACTCTTGTTTCCAAACAAGAAACAGAATTAGTAGATGGCTTACTAGATGACAGTTGCATTCTCATATCTACTTCATTCTGTCTGTTGCCATATGTACACAGAAGAGAAAGGAGTATTTTAATAGCTTTTTCAGATAATTCTGGGTATTCTTTGATGCTACACAAAAACATGACAAATGGTAATTTTGTTTTCTTTTTTTTTGTTTAGCAGGCCCTGGCCGGGTTTGAACCCCTCACCCCTGGTGCACATGGCCAGTGTTCTAATCATTGAGCAACAGGCGCCCAGCCACAAGTGGTAATTTCTTTTTTCTTTCTTTCTTTTTTTTTTTTTTTTTTGAGACAGAGCCTCAAGCTGCCACCCTTGGTAGAGTGCCATGGCATCACAGCTTATAGCAACCTCCAACTCCTGGGCTCAAGTGATTCTCCTGCTTCCACCTCCTAGATACCTGGGACTACAGGTGCCCGCCACAGCGCCTTGCTACTTTTTGGTTGTAGCCGTCATTGTTGTTTGGCGGGCTCAGGCTGGATGTATGCCAGCTTAGATGTATGTGGCTGGTGCCTTAACCACTTGAGCCACAGGTGCCAAGCCGGTAAATTCTTAAAAGTTAGTATCAATGGGCCAGGCATGATGGCTCATGCCTGTAATCCTAGTACTTTGGGAGGCCAAGGTGGGTGGATTGCTGGCGCTCACAAGTTCAAGACCAGCCTGAGTAAAAGTGAGACCCCATCTCTATTCAAATAGAAAAAACTGAGGCAAGAGGATTGCCTAAACCCAAAAGCTGGAGGTTGCTGTGAGCTATGATGCCATAGCACTCTATCCAGGGTGACAGCTTGAGACTCTGTCTCAAAAAAAAAAAATTAGTTGCAATGAATAATTTGAAACCGTATCAATGAACTTTTGTACTCTATTACCTTAGAAATCATTAGTTGTTCACTTTGAACTTTGTTTTTTTACCTTTTTTTAATTTTTAATTTTTAATTAATTAATTTATTTATTTTGAGACAGAGTCTCAAGCTGTCACCCTGGGTAGAGTGCTGTGACATCACAGCTCACAGCAACCTCAAACTCTTGGGCTTAAGTGATCCTCTTGCCT